GTTTTTAAAATACAGGCTAGGCCAGAGCGGAAGGGCGCAGAAAGTTGTATGTGATTAGTCAACCTTTGACCACGGTAAGCGAGGAGCCTGAACGAGGTTCTTCTGGGCGCATAGGGTCGGTTTTCGTAACCTGATGGCGGCCGCTTCTGCTGTTGCTAACAGGCGCTGGCCCAGTAGCTTAGGGTAGCTCAAGGAGACCTTATAAATCACACGAAATGCTTCAGCGGGGTCCACACGATGCTCTGAATCAACTGCATGCGCAAGGATGGCGCTGTCTGTTCTCCCAGTTCCACCTTTTCCCAGCCATGACGGGAGGTGCTCTCGTATTCTTTTGGAAAGGCGCCGACTCGTACGACCAATATAACCTTCTCCACAGGAGCAAGTGAATGAGTAGATGCACATTGAGGCGGTCTGAGGTGGCAGCCTATCCTTGCCTTCTCCGCGTAAAATAGGGTTAGTAGAGAATGATAATATGCGAACCCTTGATGCTGGGAAGGTTCGCGAGACAGCTTGATCAAGGTGTCTCCTTGGGAGTTCACTTGTCGCGTCCCCCTGGAAAGGGACTTTGAGGAACAAAGTTTTCGTTTCAGCGGTCGGTGTAGCGGGTTTGACCGGTCTTTCGACAATGTTCTTTGCAATGAACCTGTCAGGATACCCGTTTTCTCGAAGGAAGTCCTGGATTTTTCTGAGCTCCTCTTTGATGCTATCTGTTGAGCAAACTTTCCTAGCTCTTTGTGCCAAACATAGGACTAGATTTTGTTTTTGTTGGAGGGGTACGAAACTGGCAAAGTTCTTGTATTGTCCAGACAAGGTTTTCTTCCAATAGACGCTTCTTCGGACACTCCCGTCAGGTCTCCTGCTTAGATGAACATCTAAGAAGGACAGCGAACCGGCCGTTTCTATCTCCAGCGTGAATTTGATCGACTAATGTGCCTGATTTGCCGCATCTCAGAGGGTACCTACGTCAGTTTCCGCAGTGGCAATTGCAAAGATATCATCAACATAGCGCCCGTAATGTTTAAGCTTGTCGATCTGATCTCTTAGTTGGAATCTCTCTAATTTGCCCAGGAAGACATCTGCTTGGAGAGATCCAAGGGGTGAGCCCATAGCAACGCCGTCTACTTGTCTATAGAGTTGGGTGTCGAACAGGAACTGCACATTTAATGTGCACCTTAGTAATAATTCCTTGAGTGTCTTCGTCGGAATGCCTATTTCCTGCTGACTGGCAGATAGAAAATCACAGATGTAATCAACCGTCTCGGTGACGGGACGTTTGTAAAAAGTGATGCGACGTCTAGTGAGAAAATATCATGCCTTTAAGGTTGAGGTCTTTAATGTCGTCAATGAATCGAAAGGTATCTCGATAGCTGCGTGGTGCCAGCTGATGTTGTACTGGCTTGAGTTTCTCTAATGTCCATTTAGCTATCGCATGAGACGGAGAGTTCGCATATCTAAAATCGTACGAACCGGTAGGTCTTCCTTATGGATCTTAGGTAAACCATGGGGATTTTCACAACTCTAAAAAGTCCCTTTTCGTGCTATCAGGTCAATTATGTGGCGACAAGCAATGAAAGCGGAGAAAATGAGGAGAAACCAATCAGGAAGAAGCCGACTTTGCAGTCTACAGATAGGAACTTCTGCAGCTGGAAATTTCAGATGGTGAATACAATTCCTCGTGAGATCCTATTCTTCCCTCTCCGCCTATTGATCGCCCTTCCCCATGCGGCGGCAAATAAGCTGTAGAGCAAGAGAGAGCACGTTCATTTCGTCCGGCAATCTGACCAGACTGGTGCGACGGTCATTTCAGTCCGATTTAAAGTAGGCAACTACCTTTCTCCGGCAGGTTTTCTGGGCAACAGTATCAACTTTTATAAGATGGCTCAGTCACGTTCGATGAGCAGATCGAACGTGGCTGTATATGAGGCCTGTAAATTGTCAGAGGATCGGGCAGAAAGACTTGTGAAAAGTCCTTTACGTCAACAAATCTCTTTACCTGATCCACCGCTGAGAGCGATTCCGGTCACCCCTTGGCCGGGGGCGGATGTCTACTCCACACAAAGCTCCTTGAGGGCCAATGACAAGCTTGATCAATCGCATGAGGGCACACTGAGCTTTCGGGGGTATGCGTCGGCGTGGCGTCTTGGTTTTTTTTCTTACCGGTGGCCAGTGCACAGTTCAGAAGGTCACGTTGACGCCAGACTTATGACAAAAGTCTTCTCGGCGGCCTACGACAGGGCTCTGATGGCGTCTTGCCAAGGCCCGCCTGACTTTCTTGACAGGCGTTTAGTTCTTAGACCATCATAGCCTGTTCTGAGGGAAAAGAATACTCACGCACTGATGGACTTCGATTAAACAGACTATGCCTACTGTCAGTGTAAAGGGATAGGACTTTTGAGCTCGTATCGTCAATGCTGTATTCCGAAATTCGTGTCTATGCACGTTTTTCCTTTAACTGACGTCAAAAATGTCTGCAGAAAGAAAAAATAACTGTCCATCAGACACCTGGTTGCGTCAAGAGTAGTGTAAAGATTCTTGAGCGTTGGGTACTTCCTCAGCCCTCTCGGGCGAGTGTACTCACGCAAAACTGTCACGCACACGCCTTTGTTGAAAGATCCATGCACCAGAACGAAAGCGTCGATAATCAGTCGTCGGGTCGATTACTCAGACGCAGGAAATCGATAATCGCAAAGTGATTTGTGTACATACAGTTTAGGGTCGAGTGCAAAGATTGATATTCCGAATGCCTTGCTTTATCGTTGATCGATAACTTTAGACAGAATTGCAAAACGTCATGGGGAAGAAACCTATTGCTTGGTGAACATGGTCGACTGTGCAAAATCAACTGCGTTGAGTCGGGCACATCCTTTTCAACTGCCACCGACAGGCTTCGAAACGGACTCATTCATTTAGAGAATAGAACGAATTATGTCGGGAGAAGGAAGACTGCCTAGTAAACGTTGCACTCTGAATGCTCTCCAAGTATTTCTACCACACTGGGTCGTATATTTCCACCACTAAAATTAATTGGCTGATGATTTCTGTCTCGATCTTGCAGTTTCCATCCCACCGGTAATCGGACTCAAGTTTGCATTGATAAAAAAAGCGTTGTTCCATTTAAAGCTTGCAGTCGCCCCGCCTGTACTTGATTTCCTGCCGGATATTCGTCGGGGGTGCCTCCTACTTAACAAGGCATTTGCTGGGCTCATGAAGAAGTTCTAAACGGTTCTTGGGCTATGGAACGTTAATTTGGATCCCGATGCTGGCAATACTGGTTGGCCGCCTTACAGACATCGGTATACGAAGACCCACAAGGCATGACGTCGTAAAGTCTACCGAATTACTTGGTTTAACAACCAACGACACAATGACTAACTGTCGAGCTGCATTTCAGAGCAAAGTTAGTCGTCCTCGTGATTAACGTCCGACAGTGGGTATTTTTTTAAAGAGCTTTAGTCTAGCCGCCACCAAACGGATGGAGTATGCGAGACACCCTAGTCACAAGCGGTGTTATATCCTGAGTTGTTGGTGTCCTATACGACTGCCGTGTCCAACGATGTCCACAGCAAGGTGATAGCAGGCACGGTGACTTGCGCATGAACTGGTTTACAGTGAGAATATACTTGCGCACCACCTATCACGCTCTCCTCCTCCCCACCTGTGCGCCGGTGTCAAGACATAGTCAAAAAGATCGGAGGCAGGGGAGGGCACAGGCGTGGCTCCTTGTGCATGAACCACCCGTATCTACTTTTGTCTCTGTTGATGGGTTCGAGTAGGAATCCGAAACGCAGGCTAATAAAGCTCTTGTCCCAGAGATCGGGTCTCCTTCCCCAAGACTACTTCCTGGGACTCGTCCCTTCGCTTCTGTTGACAATACCGTTGACCTACTCAATTATTTTGAGTTGGTGTGATTGCGTTGGCATGGTGTTGCAGTGTGTATTCTGTTGACGGCCTTGTTTCTTCGTTGCCGTGTCTACCATTTTCAGCCAAATGCCGGTGGTCCTTCTTGACATTTGACCTGTCGTCTCCTTCTAACTTTCAAGTTGGATGTTTCAGGGCTAGGGTTTAGGGCTGCGGTTAAGGGTAAGGGTTAGGATTGGGGTTTGGGGTTAGGGCTTAGTGGTTAGGGTTAAGGCTTAGGGTCAGGAGTTAGGGCAACTATGTCTCAACCGCGCACACCCAATAGCTTTTCTTTTGCGTACAATTACTTGACCTCGCCACCTGTGCCTTCCCCGGCCCTACCTGTAAAAACCCCTATTACCACGAGTGCCGTATTACAGGTGCTTGGGGTTTTCTTACCTCAGGTGCGGCTACATAACCACATCTGACCCGAAAACCTCCCTGCGCCACTATCGAGGGCCTAATGACCGATTAATTATCAAGCCAACATCCAACACCCACGATGAAATTGCACCGATTTGAAGGCCGGCCATCAAGCCACTATCGCACTAAATGCAACAATCTGCGATAAAGGAGGAGCCGTCAATTTTGCCGTAGCATTTCGACGTCCTTCCCATAAATACTGCAATCCCTTGTGCTTAAAGTACCCCTATCTGGTGCCGGGTTCGAGCTTGACTCCGACACGCCAGAAGAATAAAGTTGGCATTCTTTTGGTCGATTAGTCAGTTAGTGAATATGGTGACCTCCTTCTCCTCACTCGGCGCTGAGACGGCCTGAGCAGAGTAATTAACAACTCGAGAGCGCGTGGGTCAACACTGTCAGTGTCGGTGGGCCAAATGGGCCGAGTAGTTACCACACCAATAACTAAAGTACATGATGAAATTGCGGCAACTGTCGACTCGTCTACGAGCCACCAAGCCATTGAATGCTCAAGTAATCGCCAACACTGCTTGACCACTTCCTGTTAGCGTCGCTGCGGATTTGGAGCCGGTCGGCGGAAGGTCTTCGCTGACTCACCTACTTGTACTTGATACGGTTGCGATCATGTCTGATCTAGCCGGCCTCGATGATGTCCCGAACTGTACCTCTCCACGCGTGACGACCTACGGCAGCGAATCAGGATAGTTCAACCCATTCCCTTCGCCAGCGACGTAGACCGAATACCGAGGGTCCAAGAACCACCCCGTGTCTTGACGAACTGTGTCAGGCCAGGTTTTGAACTGATCCCCTCTTCGACGCCTCCAATGGGGCAACGGTGCCGGATCGAGGGCAGTAAAACTGAGCTCCTGAGGTGGACGACGAAGAACATGCCGGAACCACTTCAGTCGTTTTTCTTGGATGGTCTGGGTTATCATTGCGATGTTGTCGCAGCGAGCGCGGACTGTCTCATTTGAAGCGAAGTCGGTGTACTTCACTCGAAGGATGATCCTCAAGCAGTGGTGGTCAAATACCTCCAGTTTTCGCTCATCCGCCACACGCAAAGCCCAGCATTCACAACCGTAGAGAAGGACAGACCGGACAGATGCACGGTACACGCGAATATTAGTGGCGATGGAGAGGTCACGTCGGTTCCACAGGCATTTCCGAAGGCTTGAAAAAACCCAGCGGGCAGCATCGATTCGGGAGACAATGTCGTCCTTACTCTGTCCATTCGGCAGCAGCCTCGTCCCGAGGTACTTAAAACTGTCTACTCCTTCAAGTTGACAGTCATCAATCTCGAGAGGTGCTTTCTCCTGGTCAGGGGTGCAGTTTGAAAACACTTTAGTCTTCCCGGCGTTTATGGATAAACCGACCGATTTAGCGACCTCGTTCACCCGTGACACTATAGACTGCAGATCACCAAAACTTGAAGCAAATAAGGCGATATCATCGGCAGAGTCGAGATCAGTCAGTCGGTGTCCGGGTGCAAACTCAATGCTGTCACCATCGTGTAGGGCCCTCCCGAGAATCTAGTCAATAGCGTAGTTGAACAGAATGGGCGACAGAATTCAACCATTTCGAACGCCAGACCGAATACCGAACGGTTGGGTAAGATTGTTGCGGACCAGGACTCTCGCAGTAGTGGAGCGATAATAGACCTTGATTATGGCGATGATTTTTGCCGGTACAACATCTAATGCCATTATCGGCCATAGGAACTCGCGATCGACGGAATCGAACGAGGCGGCAAAGTCAATGAAGCAGACGGCCGTCGGTTGCTAGTAGCTATGGCAAAATTCAATAATGCGCCTTAGTGTTAATACCTGGTCCGCACATCCACGTCCAGCATGAAATCCGGCCTGGTTGGGCCTCGTCCTTGAGTCACGCACAGCGTGGAACTTGAGTAGGACAATAACGAAGATTTTCGCAGCAACGTCGATGAGGCTTATGCCGCGGGCTCTCAGGATAAGCGGCAGCTTCATCCACAATTGGCTATGCGCCATTTCTGCGCTGTAACCGAATAAACGCTCTTCACTCGACTTAGTCTCCATGAGTTTTGCTATGGCGACTAACGGCCGCCGTGGGTCGCACTCTGCAGGTTCTGTTGCCTGGCCCCGCAAGTCACGCGGCCGTCTTCGCGCGTCGGCAGTTGCACCCCTGCACCACCTGCCTTGACGCCGCTCGCTGATTTGTCGGTACACACCAATCGCGCAGTCACTGCAGCCTGCTTGTTCGCTCTTGCACGTGGCAGCCGTCTGTGGTGCATTCGGACGAATGCACAACATGGAGACTGGCAATAGCCCTGACTCCAGACGAGCGACTGCCCCATGTCGGGCAACTGGAAGATCGGACGACGTCAACTACCATTGGCCTTCCCAACACCTTAAGGAGAGACGAAAGCAGCTTGTGGGCGGTTGACTAAACGGGGTCTACTTTGGATGACCTGACAGTCAACTCGGTGGACAGGAAGAATAAAGAGCGAATCTGACGGAACAGCCACCCCAAAGCCACAATTACCCACTCCCACTGCGCCGTCGCTATTACATCAGTCAGGTAGCGCCAAACAGTCAGAACGGCAAACGCTGCAAAAATCGATCAGGAATAGGCCAGTCGACCCGTTCTCGCATTGGCCACGTGGTAGATGCGCTGGATCAACGCGAGGGACCAGATCGGAGTCCGGGAGGCATTATTTGGAATGCGCACCCACAACAGATGTCAATATTCGGATGTGGTGGTAGGCCTAGCTGCAGGCACACGCCGCACCAGCTGGGATCCAAGCTGTCCCCATTTTTGCTGGTGTTTAAAATTCTGGCCAGGTGTTTGTTGTGGCCCAGGGGTGTGGTGGCGCGCCTAGGTGTGGGTACAGCCGTACCAGACACCTGCGCTCCCTCCCGCCTTCGGTCTTTTTGACTTCGTTCTGATACCGGATCCAGGTGAGAGAGTAGGAGGGAGTGGGGTAGGTGCTACACCAGTCCATGCGCAAGTCACTTCCCCTGGTCTCACCCTGCTGTGGAGCACACGACGTACATCGTCGGCAATGACGGTGGAACTGCCAGCTTGCATTTGCGTCTGCCAGTGATGTCAACTACCTTTTGTGGGTTTGTGAAAATAAGTTCATGTGTCTTTGTGATCGAGTGGTGTGTGTGCGTGTGTGTGTGCGCGCTAAAAGCCAACTGACGGGATAACTTGGACCTCCTTGACTGGAGGTCTGAGAGTCAGGCTGCAATGGCTCCTTCTTACTGTGGCCTTTATGGCACTCCTGCTGTGTGGGATCCGAGCCGGGTGTTGGAGGCACGCCTAGGTGCGGCTTCGGCCGTGCCGGCCTCCAATCTCTGTTGTTGATGGTCAAAAACCTGGTTATTTGTTGTGTGGACCAGGGGGTGCGGAGTGGAGCGCCAAGGTGAGGATCCGTCCGAGTCATCCACCTGCGGCCACCCCCGTCTCCGGTCTTCTTGACTCTGCCTTGACACCGGACTCAGGCGGGGGAGAAGAGAGTGTGGTAGATGCAGCGCAAGTCTACTGGCACTATAAACCCCCTCGCAAGTCACCGTCCCTGCTCCCACCTCTGCTGCGGGGCATACGGTGGACATCGTCGGATGCGACGGTCGAACTATCGTGTGAGTGTGTGTGTGTTGCTTTAGCTGATAGGTGACATGGACGACTGTGACCGTTTGCCTGCTCGCCGATACGCATGTTGCATCCTGTCAGACAGTGAAGTCAGCTCGCATGGAACCGCCCGCTGAGCGGTCTTGACGAAGCAGGGCCTTGAACAAAGACGCCAGACCCCGTAATGATGGCTGTCAGCAAAAAATTTCCATCTTGGCCGGCTGCCTTTCCGAGAATAGGCGCAGTCGGATTGTTTTCACCGGAAATTAAAGCAACCCCCTCCCCCCCAGATACCGAGATTCATACAAACATGTGGCAGTTGAAGTAGTGAGAGTATTCAGAGCACCACAATAAGCACAGCCCAGTTCCGCTTAAGAAGAGAAGGGGAAAGACACCGGTAGAAGTTGGGTATTCCGTGCACAAACTTGGTGGTGGTCAGAAGCCTCGACGTGCGGCTTGCTGGCTACGCGCGTCTGTCCGCTAGTGCGATGTGGACGTAAATGGGTAAGTGTCTTGTGAGTGTCAGCCGGTGTCACCTTGGCGAATTGATTGAGTCACAACAATGTCAGAGTAGGCATTCGCCCATCGACCCCAGGCAACAATGTGTCGCTGTTTAATGGAATTCGAAGACACACTGTCGCACACTGAAACCTCAACAGTTGTCTGTCAAGTACGTCGTAATGACTGAGACTGCAACCACGTTGGGGAAACCGGACGGAACTTGTAGACCCGCCTACACAAACACAAAATGGCAACCCAGAGACTAGACCCGATCTCACAGCCTGTGACTCACATCAGAGGAGCTGGCCACAGTTTTGACTTTCAAGGAGCAGCTGTTTTGAGCCGGGGCACCTTAAGGACAAAAAGACCCACGCTTAAGGCTTGATACTCAGAGAAACACTTCCTCAACAGGTATCTAGGCCTTCCTGTGGCGTATAAAGTACTGAGTCAATAAATACGACAGGACGAAACTGCTACAGGTAGCTTAAAAGTACCGAGCAAACATGGCTCGTCGACTAATTCGCCCAAAAGGGGAACACAGATGCAACCAAGCCCCACTGAGGTGATGACACATAACTCAGGAGGCATCCAACATTCACAAACTACGGCCAGAAGGCCAAGGCAACGAAAGAAAAGGAAAACCGATAAATCCAATGCCAACCAATTCGATCGTTTATTTAAAATTCTGGTCAGGTTTTGTGCAAAACGTTCTGATAATAGAGAGCCGGTCAAGCCGTCTGAATCGTCAATCATGCAATTCCTCCCCTTCACATGTCTTAGATTACCGATCCGGATCTCCTACGTTTGTTGACCAAAGTTTGTGGGTGCTTGTGGTTGGCTGACTTACAGGCCGCATCCGATCACTCGGGAACCGTGAGCACGCGGTACGGGCGGAAGGCTTATATACGCCTCAGACGCTACAAACGTACACGCCCAGAGCATCATCAAATTAGGTCCCAAATTAAGTTTCTAAGCCCTCTTTGAGTAGTTTACTCCGAACACTTCGTGCATGTCATTTATTGGCCAGCCTTTCATTGGGTCGCAATCTGAAGTTGGTCCTCATGAAAACCAAGCCCCCTACTATCTCATTCTTGCTCGCTTCTTGGACATTGCACTCCGCGATCAATATGGACTACTTTAGACTCTATTGCTACCCAATGTAGTTCAAATCGGAATAGTTGATTACCGGGCATGGAATCAATGCATTTCTGAATTGTCATCCGCTCGCTCCTCATTCTGTTTGGATAAAGACCGTAGGAGGTCACGTCTGAAGATGGGGAGCAAATGAAGAGTCCGGAAACGCAGAGTAATGTAAAATCTGAAATTGGAGTCACGAAAATCAATGTAAGCGAGCAGGACCCCTTATTGAATGTGTGCGCCAAAGGAAAAACGACTAATCAAGTTAACGGTGACCTCTACGAAAAATTCGCCAGCCAAGGCTGCACTTAACCCTTGAGATACCAAAACTTGAAGCATTATTTTTGGGAGAACAAAAGGCACGTCTGTTGGTAGCCATAGCATCGTGATAGCTTAAGGACGCACAATACGGGTTCTCACAAGTCATCGACCTTGAAGTGACTAAAGAAGTGGATACATCGCCTCTATGGCACTACAACTCGGGTGAGACTCGAGCAGTCCACCCTCTCGTGTGAAAACCCAGTTGTGTGTGCTACCGCGACCCTCCCCCCACCAGTTGATCGATCGGCTCGGACAGTAGATTGGTGCACGGGACAGGGAAGAAAGCATGAGGCCCATTCTGGGGACCCCACTCCGTCGGCACTCTTGGTCCTCTCAGGGAGGAGAGTCCGGCTGCAGTGGCTCCCTTTTAATGTTACCTCCCACTCAGCAGGGGTCCGAGCCGCCCCTTGTTTGTTTCTGTGAAAACCCGGCTCGTCGTGCGCGGACCAGGTGTATCTGGCACACAAAGGCGGGCTGATTAGGTCTCTCAGCAACCGCCTCCGATCCCTCCTCTGGTATTTTTGGCTCTGTCTTGACACCGGGCCCAGGTGCGTGGGTGAAGAGAGAGTGCAATAGATGCGGCGCAAGTCCACTGTGAGTATAAACTAATTCACGCGCAAGTCACAGTCCCTGCTTCCCCCCTCCCCCCCCCTACTGTGGGACGCCCGATGGTCACCGTTAGAGTTGACAATTGGACTGTCAATTAAATGACCCCAATAATCAGGTCAAGAGTAGCTCATCATAAGGAGACATCGCAATTAGGTGTCTGTTGTGTACTGAGCCACTGCCTCGGGCAACAATGGCCGTCGGAGAGTTCAGGACCTGTGCCGGCAGTGCTACATCATGCCCGAAGAAGAAAAAGGGGCAGGGGTTTTGGGTGTTTACTTGCGTGCATGGATCTAGGCAAGAACTGCTAGGCTAAGCCATCGTATTCTCGTTTACGGTGGCCGGTGCAATGATGGTCGTCGGCCACAACTCCCAGGGATCGGGATCACTACATGGTTATGACAGAGGGAACAGGGCCCGGACACTCGTTTCAGACACTCTGACAGTGTGCAAACTTGCCACCAGTACAAAACTATCTCGTACGTCTTTGAAGCTTTGTACTCCCAACCGATACTGGTGGGGCCAGGAGGCCTTAGAACCCCGCGCAAAGGTGGATGGTTTTTACTTTTTGGACAGACCACTGTTGCGATGAGCTTGGCTCCTCCCATTAGGACGGTTAGGTGCATTGTTTCGTCCGTTATAGACATCATTAGTGGGTCTCCTGACATTTCGCCTGCGCCTCCGTCGGCAGCGCTTCCCGATTATTAGGTGATTACTGCTGCGCGAAACCCAGTGGGGACTCTAAACTGGAGATATCGTGGAATGCTCGATCCACATGACTTACTGCTTCTGGTCGCTGCTGACAGGGTGT